GGCGCTTCCTTTTCTTTGCGTAGCTGCAGCTGGAACGTGGTAGTGCCCGGCCTTGGGCCTTTCCGTGGCCGCGTGTTGGGATGGTGACGGTCACTGCTCGGAGCCGTGCTGCCAGGAACGTGGCGCAGGACAGACACCGATGGGATGGCTGTGCCCCCGTGGGAAGAGGCTGTGCCTGGTACAGCCCTGGGCTCTGTGGGGCAGGGTGCCCTTCCTGGTCCTGGAGCTGCTGTCCCTCTCGCTACGTATAGAGTTTGACAGTAGTGCCCCTCTGTCTGCACAGGTGGGAACTGATGATGATTGACAGCAGTGCCCCTTCTGTCTGCACAGATGACGACTGATGGATGGTAGACAGCAATGCCCCTTCACTCTGCACAGCTGATGACTGACAGAAGATTGACAGCATTGCTCCTTCTGTCTGGACAGGTGATGACTGATGGATGATTGACAGCAGTACCCCTTCTGTCTGAAGAGGTGACTGTTAGGGTCTGTAAACAAGTCAGGATGGCGCCTGGCATTTTGCCAGAGGGAGTGGTTTGTGAAGTAATGCCAGCGAGCCATTAAGTGTGGAGATTCCTTATTGGTTGACTGCTGTATCTAGTTTATGTTAATTAAGATAAGCTGCGTGGAATGTATACCCCTCCTATCCTACAATAAATGGCTCCCACTCCTGCTGTATCAATGTACACAAGTTGCTCGTCACCTCCCAGTTATTTTGCTGCAGCCGGACTGCGGCAGGTGACTGACGGCTGACTGACAGCAGTGTCCCTTCTGTCTGGACAGGTGATGACTGATGATGATTGACAGCAGTGTCCCCTCTGTCTGGACAGGTGATGACTGACGAATGATTGGCAGCAGTGCCCCTTCTGTCTGCACAGGTGATGACTTATGGATGATTGACAGCAGTGCCCCTTCTGTCTGGACAGGTGATGACTTATGGATGATTGACAGCAGTGCCCCTTCTGTCTGGACAGGTGATGACTGATGGCTGATTGACAGCAGTGCCCCTTCTGTTTGGACAGGTGATGACTGATGGCTGATTGACAGCAGTGCCCCTCTGTCTGGACAGGTGATGACTGATGGCTGATTGACAGCAGTGCCCCTCTGTCTGGACAGGTGATGACTGATGATGATTGACAGCAGTGTCTCCTCTGTCTGGACAGGTGATGACTGACGAATGATTGGCAGCAGTGCCCCTTCTGTCTGCACAGGTGATGACTTATGGATGATTGACAGCAGTGCCCCTTCTGTCTGGACAGGTGATGACTTATGGATGATTGACAGCAGTGCCCCCTCTGTCTGGACACGTGTTGACTGATGGCTGATTGACAGCAGTGCCCCTTCTGTTTGGACAGGTGATGACTGATGGCTGATTGACAGCAGTGCCCCTTCTGTTTGGACAGGTGATGACTGATGGCTGATTGACAGCAGTGCCCCTCTGTCTGGACAGGTGATGACTGATGGCTGATTGACAGCAGTGCCCCTTCTGTTTGGACAGGTGATGACTGATGGCTGATTGACAGCAGTGCCCCTCTGTCTGGACAGGTGATGACTGATGGCTGATTGACAGCAGTGCCCCTCTGTCTGGACAGGTGATGACTGATGGCTGATTGACAGCAGTGCCCCTTCTGTTTGGACAGGTGATGACTGATGGCTGATTGACAGCAGTGCCCCTCTGTCTGGACAGGTGATGACTGATGGCTGATTGACAGCAGTGCCCCTTCTGTCTGGACAGGTGATGACGGATGGCTGATTGACAGCAGTGCCCCTTCTGTCTGGACAGGTGATGACTGATGGCTGATTGACAGCAGTGCCCCTCTGTCTGGACAGGTGATGACTGATGGCTGATTGACAGCAGTGCCCCTCTGTCTGGACAGGTGATGACTGATGGCTGATTGACAGCAGTGCCCCTTCTGTCTGGACAGGTGATGACTGATGGCTGATTGACAGCAGTGCCCTTCTGTCTGGACAGGTGATGACTGATGGCTGATTGACAGCAGTGCCCCTCTGTCTGGACAGGTGATGACGGATGGCTGATTGACAGCAGTGCCCCTCTGTCTGGACAGGTGATGACTGATGGCTGATTGACAGCAGTGCCCCTCTGTCTGGACAGGTGATGACTGATGGCTGATTGACAGCAGTGCCCTTCTGTCTGGCCTGCCGCAGCACAGCTGGCCCCTCCTGGTGCCCATGGATCCACCCAGTGTTGCGTCTGCTCCTGACCCTCTTCACACTCCCTCCTCAGCATGTGAGTGGTGCTCTCAGTTCTCCTGGGAACTGGCCCCCACACCCTGTTGACTGCAGTGACCACAGAACCTGGGACACTCTGCCTCGTCACCCAGACAACATTGCTCTTGAGCTCTCTTAGCACGTCGGCCTGCGTGCTGGGCCCCTGTGTCCAGAGGGCAGGAGACCAGGCGTGGAGCAGACCAGGCTGCCAGGTCCCTGCTCGCTGCTCTGAGGAGCTCCTGCAGAGCCTCCCGACCCCAGGCTGACCTGGTCTCCAGGGGGCGCTGGGGGCAGGATGCAGGGTGGCCATCGTGTCCCTGTGTGGGATTCACATAGCTGTGTGTTGTGCAATGGTCCCTGTGCGGCTGGGTGATGTGCGCATGTGCCATGTGACGGGCCCTGTGTAGGTGGAAGTGTGTGTCCCCTGAAGGTCCCTGTGTGGGCGGGTGTGTGTGTCCCCTAATGGTCCCTGTGTAGGCGGGCATGTGGGTCCCCTGAAGGTCCGTGTTTGGGTGGGCATATGTGTCCCTGGAATGTCCCTATGTGAGTAGGTGTGTGTGCTTATGAAAGTCCCTGTGTGAGTGGCATGTGTATCCCCTGAAGGTCCCTCTGTGGGTGGCATGTGTGTCCCCTTAAGGTCCCTGTGTGGGCAGGTGTCTGTCCTCTGAACGTTCCTATGTGTGTGTGTGTGTGTATGTGGGTGTTCCCTGGAGGTCCCTGTGTGGGTGTGTGTGCCCTGATTGTCCCTGTGTGTGTGTGTGTGTGTGTTCCCTGAAGGTCTCTGTGCAGGCAGATGTGTATGTGCCCTGATTGTCACTGTGTGGTTGGGTGTGTGTCCCCTCAAAGTCCATGTAGCTGAGGACATTGGCCAGGCTGCAGCCAACGCTCTCGGCTACTGGTTGTGGTGCAGCCAGATGACCATGTCAGGAATGGGGCTGAGGACATTGGGAGGCCTCGTCTCTCCCCAGGAGCCATGGCCTGGTAGGAGGCAGGGTCTACGTGAAGCCACCTCTCCATCCCTCTCAGTGGCTTGGCCAAGGAGTGACACTGGCCTTCCATTCCTCAGCCTCGCTGGGCTGTCCACTCTCAGGACCAAGGCCTGCACGGTCTTACCTGACACAGGGAGGCCCCAAGGGCCCCAGCAGCAGAAGACAGAGGCCTGATCCTTACCCAGGGTGCTGGGGAAGGTGCCTGCCTGCAGGGCCCTGAGGACGGGAGCATGCGCTGAGCTGAGAGGTCCCCATCTTGCTCGCCTTCAAGGGGGGTTGGTCCTACCCACTCTGGCCTGGGTTTTATCTGTTGGAGGGCCCGGTGGCTGCAGGGTGCTCTCCCTTGGTTGGGACGGGCCCCTGCTCGCACCCCAAGTTCTGCCCTCCTGCACCCGGCACCCCGTCCTGAGGCCTGCACAGCTGTCCAGACACCCAGCCTGGCCCAGGTTCCCTGCCGCTCACTGCCAGTGGGCATTGGCAGCAAATCCAACGCCTGTCTTGGCCTCCAGGTCCCTGTGAGGCTCCCATGGCAGCAGTGCCCCTCGAGTGGGGTCAGCCCCACCCTGGGCAGGACGTCTCTCGCCCACTGAAGCAAAGACCCCAATAAACACTTTCTAACAGCTTGAGGCCTGGCCCCTAAACGCCCGTCTGGAACCCAGGCAGCTCCTGCTCCTGCACCCACGGGGCGCTCGCTCCCGAAGCACGGGCTGGAAAGTCCCCCAGCTGGGTCTCTGTCTCCCAATGTCCATGTTGGCTGCAGCTCAGCAGCATCTTCCAGGACCAGAGCGGCCCCTCTGCAGCATCTCCTGGGGAGGGAGCCTGATGTCGACACAGTTCTGTCCACAGACACAGCTGGCCTCCTATGGGAAGCTGAGTGGCCCCTGGCAATTCTTTGCCTCCTGGACTCTGCAGAGCCCCTTCGCCCTCCGCACTGCCTGTATGTCTCAGAGGGAAGTTGAGCTGGGCTGGCCGTGGACTCTGTGTTCCACTGGGCTGCCCTCGCATGCCAGGCTGTGTTCCCTGGTGTCTGCAAACGCCCCCACCCTGTGCCACTGCCTGCTGCTCTTGGCACCTGGGTGTCCTGGGGGCTGAGTGGCCCTAGAATGGGTAGCACCTGCCCTGGAGGAGGGTGTGTGGGACTTGGGACTTGGAGCTGATGCTGGGGACGTCAGGGTGGGACGGCGCATTTGCAAGAGAGGAGGCAGGGTGGTTGTGGGCTGAGTGGTGCCTCCACACCCACATGCTGAGGTTGTGACCCAGGACCTCAGGATGAGCCACACTGGGATGGGCTCACCAGGGTGGGCCTGAGGCCCTAGGACTGTGTCTGCGGAAGAGGAGACCAGGACAGCCTGTGTGGACACAGGAGAAGACCGTGAGTGCAAGCCAGGGAGAGAGGCCCAGGCCTGCCCTGCCTCTACCCAGGAGCCCTGGCCCCCGGGACACTGCAGATAGCGTCTGTTGCTGGAGCGTCCAGCCTGCGTCCTGTCACGGCTTCCAGAGCTGACTGTGCAGCACGCACACTTCCTGCCTGGTGTGGCCAGCTGGGGAGACCCTGCTTGGCCACCTGCTTCCCAGGGCTCCCCAGAGTGACCTGTTCAGGCACAGGCAGCATCCAGCTGGGAGGAGGGTGCCTGCATGTAGGAAAGGCCTTGGGAGCAGGGCTGGCAGCCAGGCAGGGTGAGGCTGCAGGAGGGATGGCCGGACAGGCCTGGCCTGGCCTTGTGGCCTCCCCTCGTGCATGATGGAGGGGCTGGTGGACACAGCAGCGCACAGAGGCACAGGGTGTTTAAAGGATGTTTAATGTCACTCTGAAAAAACCTGAAAAGACATTATGGGGTTCCTGTAAACTAGAAGGAGAAAGCTACCAAAGCCAGAAGTGTGCAGGTCCTGGCCACTGTCCTGAGCCCCCCTGGGAGGTCCTGCTGTTCTCTCCTATAAAAGCCAGAAGTGTGCAGGTCCTGGGCCACTGTCCTGAGCCCCTCTGGGAGGACCCTCTGTTCTCTCCTATTAAATCCAGAAGTGTGCAGGTCCTGGGCCACTGTCCTGAGCCCCCCTGGGAGGTCCTGCTGTTCTCTCCTATTAAATCCAGAAGTGTGCAGGTCCTGGGCCACTGTCCTGAGCCCCCCTGGGAGGACCCTCTGTTCTCTCCTATTAAATCCAGAAGTGTGCAGGTCCTGGGCCACTGTCCTGAGCCCCCCTGGGAGGACCCTCTGTTCTCTCCTATTAAATCCAGAAGTGTGCAGGTCCTGGGCCACTGCCCTGAGTCCCCCTGGGAGGTCCCTCTGTTCTGTCCTATTAAATCCAGAAGTGTGCAGGTCCTGGGCCACTGTCCTGAGCCCCCCTGGGAGGTCCTGCTCTTCTCTCCTATTAAAGCCAGAAGTGTGCAGGTCCTGGGGTCACTGTCCTGAGCCCCCCTGGGAGGCCCCTCTGTTCTCTCCTATTAAAGCCAGAAGTGTGCAGGTCCTGGGCCACTGTCCTGAGCCCCCCTGGGAGGTCCCTCTGTTCTGTCCTATTAAATCCAGAAGTGTGCAGGTCCTGGGCCACTGTCCTGAGCCCCCCTGGGAGGCCCCTCTGTTCTCTCCTATTAAATCCAGAAGTGTGCAGGTCCTGGGCCACTGTTCTGAGCCCCCTGGGAGGTCCTGCTGTTCTCTCCTATTAAATCCAGAAGTGTGCAGGTCCTGGGCCACTGTCCTGAGCCCCCCTGGGAGGACCCTCTGTTCTCTCCTATTAAATCCAGAAGTGTGCAGGTCCTGGGCCACTGCCCTGAGCCCACCTGGGGAGGCCCCTCTGCTGTTTGTTGTGTCTTTTCCTCTCTGGAAACTCTGACTCGGTGTTCGCTCCTGAGTAGTGATGGCACAAACAGATCCTGGGGCCCTCTGTCTGTCATCACTGCCCGCCAGCCATGGCTCCCCAGGCCCTGGGCTCTCTGGAGGGGCTCTGGTCCACCCGCCGTCTGTGGCCTGGCTGTGTCCTGGCCTCCTGTGCCCCACCTGCCTGGTGCCCTCAGCAGCCTCAGTCCATGCCTGGCCTGCCTGGACACTGTCCAGTGCTCTCCTAGAGGGACACCTGGCTGATGCCCACCCTCTCAGGTGGTCTCTGCCCTAGCACTCGCCAGGCCTCCCGGAATGGCCACATGTGCCCAGGTCCTTCTGAGTGGTCTCCCTGGTGTGGAGCTGGGTCCCACTGTGGGAAGTGGCATCCTGGACCCATCCCTAGTTGTTCCCATGCAGAGAGGGTCCAAGGTGCTGTCCTGTGGGTAGAACCCCACCTCTGAAGCGGGTGCGCCAAAGGAGGGGCCAGTGCACAGAGACCCCATCACACAGGAGGCTGCTTCCCAGGAGCCAGAGAGACTCGGGGTTTGCAGAATGACCCAAGATGGGGCTTGGCACGGCACGGGCGGGAGTGAAGGCCATCTGAGTGACCGCAGGAAGCCCTTCCCGAAGCTCCCCTGTTGGGGAGTGTTGGCCCAGAGCTTCCCAGCTCAGGTGAGAGGTCCCCACTCAGTGTTCTGAGGACTTCACCTTCTCTCTCAAGAAACCCTGCAGTGGGGAGGCTGGAGTGGACAGGGTCAGTGCGAAGCTGTCTCTGCCCTGGTGGACTTCAGCAAGCTGACCTCGGCCTCCTCTCGGGTGAGTGGCTTTCCCCCTGAGGGCAGCGATGTCCTGGTGAGGTGCACATGTCCCCTGCTGGCCCTGGCCAGTGTCTTGGGCCAGGGGTGGTCTGTGTCCAGGCTGCTGAAGTCTGGGGGTAGAGCCTGCTCTCCAGAGGTCCTCCAAAGGGCAGGAGCAGGGCTGCAGGGTCAGTGAGTCGCAGGGTCAGAGGGCAATGAGGTCCAAGGGCAGGTGTGGCTGGGGAGCCAGGCTGCTGGCCATGATGGATGGTCCTCCAGGGTCTGGGAGGCCCTGGGCCCCTTGCAGGAGGTGGCCTAGGCCCCCTGCCCTATCATGTTCCTGTAGTCAGGGGCGATGGTCGGCTTCAGCTCTACCACCGAGGAGAAGATCCAGTTCACCTGTAGAACAGCACAGGTGAGCCCACAGTCACCTGAGGGAGAGCTGTGGACAGTGAGGGGACAGGGTGGGGACAGTGGGGGACAAGGTGGAGACAATGAGGGACAAGATGGGGATAGTGGGGGATAAGGTGAGGACAGGGTGAGGATGGTGGGGGACAGGGTGGGAGAGTGTGGGGACAGGGTGGGGACTATCAGGGACAGGTTGGGGACAATGTAGGACAGGATGGAGATGGTGGGGGACAATGTGGGGGACAGGGTGTGGGCTGTGGGGGAAATGTGGGAACTGTCTGGGGACATGGTTGGGACGGTGGGGGACAAGGTGGGGGACAGTGTGAGGATAGCAGGGGATGGTGTGGGGAATAGGGTTGGAACAGTGTAGGGGACAGGTGAGACAATGAGGAAAAGGTGGAGATAATGGAGGGGATATGGTGGGGGACAGTGTGAGGACAGTTGGGGGACAGGATGGCAACAAGTTAGGACAGTGGGGGACAGGGTGTGTACAGTGTGGGGACAGTGGGACAGGGTAGAGGACAGCGTGAGGGATTGGGTAGGGGACAATTTGGGTAATTGCGTGGGGTACAGGGTAGGGACAGGTGGAGGACAGGTTGGTCACAATGTCGGGAGATGTGGAGGCAGGTGGGGAGCAGGGTGGAGACACGTTGGGAAAAGTGTGGTGGACAGCATGGAGCTCATAGTGGACACAGCATGGGACACAGCATGTGGGACATCATGGGGACAGCATGGGACAGACCATGGGACAGTGTGGAGATGGCACAGGGACAGCATGGGGATAGCATGGGACACACCGTGGGTCAGTGTGGAGATTGTATGGGGACAGCATGGGGACAGCATGGGACACATCGTGGGACAGTGTGGAGATGGCACAGGGACAGTGTGGGGACAGCATGGGACACATCGTGGGACAGTGTGGAGATGGCACAGGGACAGCATGGAGACAGCATGGGACACACCGTGGGTCAGTGTGGAGATGGCACAGGGACAGCGTGGGAGAGCATAGGAGAACCGCTCGACTGTGGGAAGTGTGGTGTCATGGGGGATGGCATGGGGACAGCACGGGGACAGTGTGGCCGACCTTGAAGAGAGTGACAGTGGCACTGTAGCACACGCTGAGCAGGAAGAGGCTGATGAAGATGGTGATGGTCGTCCACAGCCCGTCCAGCTCCCCGTCCTGGGCCTCTGTACAGTTCTCATCCAGGCTGAGCTCTGGACAGGGAGGGGGTGGTCAGTGTGTGGCGCCAAGGTGGGACCTGGGAGCTGCCTCCCGGGGGCCAGGAGAAGGGCCGCTGGGCTGGGCCAGCAGTGCGCGGACTGGGGCCAGGTTTCCCTGGTGGCCTTCTCTGGTGGGCCTCAGCCCCCCGCTCCTCCCACTGGGGCCCAGCTCATCCAGACCCCCTGGCTGTGGACGGTGGCCTGGACTTCATGGGCGCTCCTTGCTGCGAGCTCCAGGAGTCAGTGCTGGGGCAGGCCAGGCAGCGCTGGCCTGTGACCCTGCAGGGATGTCCCCGCAGCCTGTGTGGCCCCTGCTTATTCAGTGGTGACCAGGCCCAGGGGCTGGAGAGATGGCAGAGCCTGTCCCTGGTGTGGCCCCAGCTACAGGGACAGTCTGCGCTGGGGAGGGAGCTGGATCTTGTGGTAAGGGGGTGTGTGCCTGTGTGGGGGTCCGTGTGGGTGTCGGGCCTGGGTGTGTCAGGGCTTGGGTGTAGGTGCCTCCTGAGAGGAGGCTGGGATCTGAGCTGGTCAGTGTGTGAGGCCGTGGGTGGTCCCGTGTGCTTGTGAGTGTTCAGTGACTGGACACTTGCTGGCTCTGGGTGTGCATGTTGCCCGTGTGAGGCCCCAGTGTGCACGAGTGTGGGCAGGTGCCCTGTGGGTTGGTCCAAAGGGTCTGTGCTCTGTGTCTGTGTGGTTTTCTGGACAGTCCCTCCCTTGGGCCATTCAGGGCTGCCAGATGTGGGTGTTCCCAGGGGTGGGCAGTGCAGGGAGGGCCTATCCCCACTCCCATGGCTAGTCAACCCCTGCACGGACACAGAGAGATCCTTGGACAGGGAATCAGGACACAAGGACAGTCTCTGACAGGGGGGCTGTGTCCTTTCCTGGGGGCTCCTGAGAGGTATCTCCCTGATCAGCCAGAGTTGCTGGGGCTGGGGAAGGTCTGGGAGAGGCTTAGCCTCTGGCCGAGCCTCGTGCCCTGCGGGGGCAAACCCCAGCCAGCTGGGCAGACAGTGGCTCTGGTCTGGTCATGTGGGACCCCTCCCTCTCTCTAGCCGTGACAACGTGGGCCTCGGAGGCAGCCTGGCCGACAGCCCACAGCCCAGACGTGCCAAGAACTCTCTGCCTCAGAAAGAACCAGGATAGTCTCACAGGGTCCCAGGGCAGGCTGGGTGCTTTATTGACGCGGCAGGTGAGGGAAGGTGACAGTGTCCTCTGGGGTGAGGACTCGCCAGGCTCATTTACCCGGGGACCGGGACAGGGTCTTCTGGGTGAAGTGGTTGTGCAGAGCCTCGTGCATCACTGAGCATGTGTAGAGGTCTCCTTGCTGCCATCTGTTCCTGTCCACCCTGAGCTTGCTGTAGAGGAAGTAGGTCCCGTCGGAGTCCAGGACGGGCTCGGTGGTCTTGGAGTCCTGCTCCGGCTGCCCCTGTTTCTCCCACTCCACAGAGATGTCGGCAGGGTAGAAGCCTTGGATGTAGCAGGTCAGACTGACGGTGTTCTTGGTCAGCTCCTCCTGGGCCGGGGGCAAGACGTACACCTCTGGCGCCCGGGGTTGCCCTGTGGAACAGAGGTCAGCACAGAGGTCACTGACAGGGCAGTGGCGGGCCGAGCCAGGCTCCATGTGACCAGGCAGCCCCATGTCCTGCCCTGCCCGCTGCCCTCTCCCACCTGCGACTTTGGAGATGGTCCTCTCGATGGGGGCTGGCAGGGCTTTGTTGTTGACCTTGCACTTGAACTTCTTGCCATTCAGCCAGTCCTGGTGCTTGATGGGGAGGACACTGACCACGCGGAATGTGCTGTTGTACTGCCTCTCCTGTGGCTTCGTCTCAGCTGTGCTCACCTCCACGTTGTCTACATACCAGCTGAACTGGACCTCGGGGTCATCCTGGCTCACATCTACCACCACGCATGTGACCTTGGGGGTCAGGGAGATCATGAGCGTGTCCTTGGGCTTTGGGGGGAAGATGAAGACGGATGGTCCCCCCAGGATTTCAGGAGCTAGTGTGGGAGAGATGGAGGACACGGGTCAGCACCTGGGGCCTGCCCTCTGCCTGAGACTTCTCTGGGCACCCGTCCCGCTCCTTCGGCTTAGGGCAAGGCCTGGTGACTTACGTGGACATGGTGGACATGGGGTAGGTACAGGACCACAGGGAGCTGCAGGAGAGAAGGATGGGGTCACTGAGATATGGGGGAGGAAGGCACCCGCAGAGACAGGGTGAGTTTGGCTCTGGGCGCGCTCAGGTTAGGGCCAGGCTGCTCTTGGGTATGGCTCTTGGCAGGCCTATGACCAGTGCCCAGGAGCCCACACGTGGGCATCCAGACTGTGCCTGCCCTGGGCCTGGTGGAGACAGAGCACTCTCCCTGAGCATGAGAGGCATGGCAGAGTTCTCCAGGTGGCACAGACCTGCCTGACTTCCAGAGGACCCCTCCCCGTGCAGACTGTCCCCTTACCAATGATCTTGTCCACCTTGGTGCTGCTGGCCGGGTGGGCTACATTGCAGGTGACGGTCTGGCTGGGCCAGGTGCTGGTGGGCACAGTCACCATGCTGGTGACAGAGTAGAGCCCTGACTGCAGGACAGCTGGGAAGGTGCGGACTCCACTGGACAGGGATCCTGAGTTCCATGTCACGGTCACCGGCTCAGGGAAGTAGCCCTTGACCAGGCAGCCCAGGTTCACTGAGGAGCCAGATGTGTCCCTAGAGCTGGGGGCCAGGGGGAAGACTGATGGGGCCGTGGTCGAAGCTGCAAGAGAGAAGATACTGAGTGAGCTGTGCTGGACGCAGATGGACCCAGGCCCACAGAAGGCCTGCTGTCCTTGGCTCTCCCCAAGCATCAGGCAGGGTCTGTTGTCTGGATTTGTGGGCATCAGGTACCCACCTGGTAGGCCCTACCTCCCTAGGTGATCCCCCACCTCAAGGATGCCCAGGCCAGGCCAGACCTCTCCTGATGGGCTTCCAGAGGGACACAGAGCCAACTGTGCAGTTAGCCCTGTGTGCCACCCCCTGCCCCTGTGGGAGAGGCTGCACGCGGATCCTTTAGCATCTGATGACCACTGGACCTGTGTGGCCCTGGGGCCCCCAGCCCCTTCCTGGGCTCTGCCCATGGTGGGTGCCACCTTGGTCCTGCTGGGCCCACCAGCTCCCTGTCCCCATGTGCTTCCTGTGGGCATCTGGCCTGACTAGTGGCCTTGTTCTCAGGTCCCCTGTGCCCTCCACTGTTACCGAGGAGTCCTGCTCTGGGTGGGGTTGGCTACCTCTGCCTGGGCTCTCCTCCCTGCACCTCGGCCCAGAGCCCAGGCCTTGGACCTAACCCTGCAGGGTCAGGTGTTTTGGAGTTGGCTCTGAGCAACCCAGTGCCCTCGGTCCTGGCCCTGGGCCCTAGGCCCTGCCCTGAGACAGCCCCTGGGACCCTCCTGATTGGCTCCCCCTAGCCCTGAGCTCTGGCTCCTCACTGGACCCTTCCTCCCCAGGTCTCCCTGCCCTGCTTCCTGAGGTGCACCATGGGCACTCTCCTTGGCCCTCTTGCCTGCCCCTCAGAGCCCCTCTGCAGCTCTGGCCTGGCCTCCACGGCACCTGTGAGCCCCGACCTCTCCCGAGCCTTCCTTCCCAGGGCCCTTGGGACTCAGCCCAGGACCCCCAGCCCTCAGCACAAGGCCCTGGGCACACAGCCAGGGCTGCCATCTGCTCATCTGGGAGCGCCAGCCCCAGAGACCTCTCCCCCAGCCTGGCCCTCCTGGGCCAGCACTGGTTCTCCCTGTAGCCCCATCTTGCCCCTTGCCAGGGACCCCAAGGAGCCCCAAGCCCCTTTCTTCTTCCCTTCCCACCAGCTTGCTCCCGCCAGTCCTCCTGTGCTGTGGGGAGGGAGGAATGTGGACAGCCCCGGAGACCAAGGATGGGTGATCTGGGGCCAGTGGGAGGGCAAGACCAGCAGGTTCCTGATCTCCCTGGGCTGCCCAGGTCCCCCAGCAACCTACCTGCCCCAGCTCTCCTGCGGCAGTTCTGCCTCTGGTGCCCAACGCCTGGGGGTCCTACTGCCCACTCTGCCCTCCATCCGTCCAGCTTGGCCCCTCTGCTGGCCTCCCCCACCCAGGACTGGTTTGCTTCCAGAGCCCGGAAGCACCCATCCTCTCTTCGGCCTACTCTTCCCAGCAGAGCCCTCCTGGATGAGCTCCTGGACTCTGTGACCCCCCGACCTCCCCCGTTGCTCCCAGTTCTGGAAGCTTCCCTGCTCCCTTCGCTCTGCCTGGTCAGCTGTCCTGTAAGCACCAGGTTCTGGAAGCTCAGTCTCTTCCCAGCAGTCAGCCGACGGCTGCTTCCCTGAGCTCCTGTCCCCTTCTGGCTCCCTCCCACCTTGAACTCAGCACACCTCAGCCCTGCTCTCTGCTCTGGGCAGCCCTCTGCAGCCCCCCCTCAGCCCTGCACCCCGTGGCCCTGCCCACTCCTGGCCAGCTCAGAGCACAGCAGCCGTGGGCGCTGAGCCCCTTCTAGCCTCCCGAGCTCAGTGGGGCTGCCTGCACAGCCCTGTGCTGTGTGCTCTGGATGCCCAGAGCCCCTTGCTGGCCACTCCTGGCCTGCCCTTGCTCACCTGCTGCCCCACTGGCCTGTGCAGGATGCTTTGCCCCTGGTGCTTTGCTTCTGCTTCCTGTGCTGTCCTCTGCTCAAAAGGTCCCCGCCCTGGGCTCTGCAAACCCTCCTCAGCCCCTGTTAACCTGCATCTGCTCAGCTCCTGCAGGGACCCAGGGACCCTGTAGCTGGACCCTTCAGACTCTACCTCTGGGATTGCCCTGGTCGCCCACCTGCTCTAGGACACTGTGGCTATTGTCTGTTCCCCTGAGTTCTGGGAATGTCAGCAGACAGAGTGCTCCCCGACCTGCCCCAGCTCACCTGTAACTGTTATGTTCTGGTCCCCTGAGCTCCTGGGGCTTCCCGGACACCTCCAGAACCCCACCTGCCCCAGCTAAGCTGCAACTGCTCTGCCAAGTTACCCTGAGCTCCTGGGGCTTCCCGGGCCCGTCTAGCACCCCACCTGTCCAAGTAAGCTGTAACTGCTCTGCCAAGTTACTCTTACCTCCTGAGGCTTCCCAGGCACCTCCAGCACCTGCACCTGCCCTAGCTTAGCTGCAACTGCTCTGCCAAGTTACTCTTACTTCCTGGGGCTTCCCGGGCCCCTCCAGAACCACCAACCCCCCCAGCTAAGCTGCAACTGCTCTGACAAGTTACCCTGACCTCCTGGAGCTTCCCGGGCACCTCCAGCACCCCACCTGTCCAAGTAAGCTGTAACTGCTCTACCAAGTTACCCTGAGCTCCTGGGGCTTCCCGGGCACCTCCAGCACCCCCACCTGCCCCAGCTAAGCTGCAACTGCTCTGCCAAGTTACCCTGAGCTCCTGGGACTTCCCGGGTACCTACAGAACCCCACCTGCCCCAAATCACACACAGCTATTCTGCCCCTTGTCCCCTGAGCTCCTGGTTCTTCCCTGGTACCTTTAGCACCTCTGCATCCCCTAGCTCACCTGTAACTGCTCTGTCCAGGTCCCCTGAGCTCATGGGGCTTCCCAGGCACCTCTAGCACCCCCATCTGTCCCAGCTCACCCACAGCTGCTCTGCCCAGTCACCCAAAGCTCTAGGGCGTTCCTGGCTCCTCCTGCATCCCCACTTGCCCCAGCTCACCTGTGACTGCTCTGCCCAGGTCTTCTGAGCTCCTCAGGTTTCCCGGGCACCTTCAGCACCCCCACATTCCCCAGCTTAACAGTAAGTGCTCTGTCCAGGTCCTCTGAGCTTCTGGGGCTCCCCAGTCACTTTAAGCACCCCAACCTGCCTCAGCTCACCTGGAACTGCTCTGTCCAGGTCCCTTGAGCTCCTGGGGCTTCCTAAGCCCTTCCAGCACTATCAATGGCCAAGTTCACCAGTAGTTTCTCTGCCCCTGGCTCCCTGAGCTCCTGGGGCTTCCCAGACACCTCCAGCACTGTGCTTGCCCCAGCTCACCGTAACTGCTCTGCCCAGGTCCCTGAGCTCCTGGAATTTTCCTGGCTCCACCAGCACCCCACCTCCCCCGCTCACCAGTAACTGCTCTGCCCAGGTCCCCGAAGCTCCTGGGGCTTCCCAGACACCTCCAGCACCCCACCTCTCCAGCTCACCTGTAAGTGTTTTGCCCAGATTCCCTGAGCTCCTGGGGCATCTCAGGTTCCCAAGCACTCCCACCTGCCCAGGTCACCTGTAAAGGCTCTGCCCAGGTCCCCTGAGCTCCTGGGGCTTCCCAGCATCTCATGTACCCCAACCTGCCCCAGCTCATCTGTAAGAGCTCTTCCCAGGTCCTCTGAGCTCCTGAGGCTTCCTGGCCACCTCCAGCACCCCCACCTGCTCAGCTTACCTGTGAGTGTTCTGCCCAGGTCCCCTGAGCTCCTGGGGCTTCCTGGTCACCTCCAGTACCCCACCTGCCCCAGCTCAACTGTAAGTGCTCTGTCCAGGTCCCCTGAGCTCCTTGGGCTTCCTGGTCACCTCCAGCACCCCACCTGTCCCAGCTTACCTGTGAGTGTTCTGCCCAGGTCCCCTGAGCTCCTGGGGCTTCCTGGTCACCTCCAGTACCCCACCTGCCCCAGCTCAACTGTAAGTGCTCTGTCCAGGTCCTCTGAGCTCCTGGGGCTTCCCGGTCACCTCCAGCACCCCACCTGCCCCAGCTCTACCTGTAAGTGCTCTGCCCAGGTCCCCTGAGCTCCTGGGGCTTCCCGGTCACCTCCAGCCCCCACACCTGCCCCAGCTCACCTGTAAGTGCTCTGCCCAGGTCCCCTGAGCTCCTGGGGCTTCCCGGTCACCTCCAGCCCCCCCACCTGTCCCAGCTCACCTTCAGATGCTCTGCCCAGGTCCCCTGAGCTCCTGGGGCTTCCCAGGCACCTCCAGCCCCCCCACCTGTCCCAGCTCTACCTGTAAGTGCTCTGCCCAGGTCCCCTGAGCTCCTGGGGCTTCCCGGTCACCTCCAGCACCCCCACCTGTCCCAGCTCTACCTGTAAGTGCTCTGCCCAGGTCCCCTGAGCTCCTGGGGCTTCCCGGTCACCTCCAGCCCCCACACCTGCCCCAGCTCACCTTCAGATGCTCTGCCCAGGTCCCCTGAGCTCCTGGGGCTTCCCAGGCACCTCCAGCCCCCACACCTGCCCCAGCTCACCTGTAAGTGCTCTGCCCAGGTCCCCTGAGCTCCTGGGGCTTCCCGGTCACCTCCAGCCCCCCCACCTGTCCCAGCTCACCTTCAGATGCTCTGCCCAGGTCCCCTGAGCTCCTGGGGCTTCCCAGGCACCTCCAGCCCCCCCACCTGCCCCAGCTCACCTTCAGATGCTCTGCCCCTGGTGCCCTGCGCCCTGGGCTTCCCCAGCCTTCCAGCACTCCACTGCCCAGCTCTCCTGTAGCTGCTCTCCCTTGGTTCTCTGAGCCGCGGGACTGCCCAGGTCCCTCAGCATCCCTGCTTTCCCCAGCTCACCTGTGTCAGCTTGGACCCTGGTCCCAGGGGTGGCTCCTGGGTGGCTCACGACTCTCAGGCACCCCACCTGCCCAGCTCACGTGCACCTGCTCTGCCCAGGTCCCTGAGCCCAGAGCTGCCTCGTCCCACCCCACTCTCCCTCAGTGGAGGCTGGGTCCTCCTCTGGCCTCACCCTCTTCCCAGGGCTGGCCTTGCTCCCAGAGCCCCCGAGGCTCCCATCCTCTCTCCAGCCAGCTGTGTCCAGCAGAGCCCGCTGGCCCTGCCCTGCCCCTGGAGG